GATTCTATATCTAAAGATTACTACTTAATTAAAATGTAATTAAGCTGCATATGCGATTCTATATCTAAAGATTACTACTTAATTAAAATGTAATTAAGCTGCATATGCGATTCTATATCTAAAGATTACTACTTAATTAAAATGTATGGCAGAATTCTATATATTCTTACAATGTGTCTCAACAAATATTTAGAAATTCAAGTAAAATTGCTGAGAAATAATCTGAAATCTTTTTGTAAAATACCTTTTAAAATTTAGAGGGTTATAAAAAAACAAAGGATTTCGTATTTTTTGACATTTTTTGTTTACCAGCTATTTTCGTTGTTAACATTTTTGTGTAAGTGACCAATTGCGGATATAGATTTAAACACAAAGTTTTAAAACATTTTCCCCACAAATATTCTAGTTTCTGGTTTTTAAACGCTTTTTCCACAAATATTCTAATTTCAGGTTTTTAAACATTTTTTCCACAAATATTCTAATTTCTGGTTTTTAAACATTTTTTCCACAAATATTCTAATTTCTGGTTTTTAAACATTTTCCCACACATAATTGATCTTATTTTAGATTTTTAAACGTTTTCCTCACAAATATTCTAATTTAAGGTTTTTAAACATTTTTCCCAAAAAATATTCTAATTTCAGGTTTTAAACATTTTTCCCAATAATATTCTAATTTCTGTTTTTAAACATTTTCTCCGCAAATATTCTAATTTCAGGTTTTTAAACATTTTCCCCACAAATATTCTAATTTCTGGTTTTTAAACATTTTCCCCACAAATATTCTAATTTCTGGTTTTTGAACCGATTCAATTGATAAATTGATTAAAAGTGAACAATAGTATATCAACTAAAGTATTCAAATGGTATACTGTACACATTTGGAATATAATGATCATGAAAGATCTTGTAAAAAACATATTTAATGAAGGCATGAAATATCATGTATAGTGAGATCCTAAGAACTATTTATAACATTGTTATTTTGGTTCGCAGTGTTTTTGGACAGAAATTTTCTCTTTATCAAGAAGGTTTAAGTCTTTTTAGATTTAATTTTGTTCCGAGCTTTAGCGAGGGATAAAATATAATCTAGAGATTCGAGATATTAAGAAAATTAAGTCCAAAAACTTCATAACACGTGACGTGGCATGCCAAAATAATAGTTTTATTGGTAATTTGGGTGGGGCAAAACTTTGTTTCCAGGCAAAGCCTGGTTCCCCAATTAGTTTACATAAAATACAAGTTGTGTGCAGGCGTGTTTTGTGTATGAGATATGTTTTATAATTTGTATATTGTAAAGTGAAATTGTGAGAACATATGGAATATTACTGAAACTTATTTACCACACTCTTGATTTTGGCCCAATTCATTAAAATAAGGGAAAAATGATTAATATGGTCTATCTTATATTTTAATCAATATTGCATAAAATAAAATACTTTTCAAATAAAATGAAAGACAACATTTCAGAAAGCATATAAGGCATAGATTTTTTTATTTACAAATAAATGTAGTCCTTTAAGCAATAAATCCCAATAGTTTACTGACACTTAAAATTCAAACTAGAGGAGATACGAGGTCCCAAAGTCGTACCAACATAAATTTTACACGGATGTTGTTCCATGCTACGCTAAACTCTTCACGGAAGATCTTGTCAACTTGTCAAGGACCATTAAAAACTTTATTGTGTTTACATTGTGTTACGGTCTTGAAGAAGTCTGATTCTAGGAGTATAGAAATAACATCAGATTATCAATAGAGTTACATCTATCTGATTGTGATGTGTGTATACTCTGTATATTAAATCGTATAAAATTAATGGTACTTTGTCTTTCTGTTCCGATTAAAGCATGACTGACCATTATTTTAGGTATGTGGATGAACTTTTCAAGGGTTGGACACAATTTTAAAAGGTGTGTACAAACATTTAAAAGGGATGGACAAACATTTAAAAATTGTGGACTAACGTTTAAAAGGGATGACAAGAATTTAAAAAGGGATGGACAAACATTTAAAAGGGGTGGACAAACATTTAAAAGGGATGGACAAACATTTAAAAATTGTGGACTAACGTTTAAAAGGGATGACAAACATTTAAAAATTGTGGACCAACGTTTAAAAGGGATGACAAACATTTAAAAGGGATGAACAAACATTTAAAAGGGATGGACAAACATTTAAAAGGGATGAACAAACATTTAAAAGGGTTGGACAAACATTTAAAAGGGATGAACAGACATTTAAAAAGGATGGACAAACATTTAAAAGGTGTGGACAAACATTAAAAGGGATGGACAAACATTTTAAAGAGATGGACAAACATTTGAAAGGCGTGAAAAACATTAAAAGTGCTGGACAGACATGAAAAATAAATAGACAAACATTAGATTTTTAAAAAAGTAATGGAACATCAAAAGAGCACGTACGAACTTAAATAACCTGCATCATCAGTGAATACAAATTACCAAAATCACATGTAAGCAACCGTAAAATCAAAATATTTGAATAAAAATTTGAAATTAATATATCAATATTTAAATGGATTAATTGTAATATTCACTTCGCTTGCTCTGGTTTTGAGTATGAAGCGCGCCAAGTCTAAGTATAAACTACGCGCATCGGCGTACACCAACGTAGTTTACGCGCGTTCAACACATATAAACCTTGTATACAGAGTTATCTTACATAACTTCTTTTCTTTTCTTTTCTAGAGTCTCTTTATTCTTATTCCTGGACTTTTTTATTCTTATTCGTGGAGTCTCTTTTCTTCTTACTCCTGAAGTCTCTTTTGTTCTTATTCGTGGAGTTTCTTCTATTCTTATATCTGAAGTCTCTTATATTCTTATTCTTTGGAGTCTGTTCTATTCTTATTCCCTGAAGTCTCTTCTATTCTTATTACAGGAGTCTCTATAATTCTTATTCCTGGAGGCTATTCTATTCTTATTCCCTGAAGTCTCTTCAATTCTTATTCATGGAGTCTCTTCAATTCTTATTCCCTGAAGTCTCTTCAATTCTTATATCCTGAAGTCTCTTCAATTCTTATTCCTGGAGTCTCTTCTACTTTTATTCTTATTTCACTTCTCCCATGTGCAAATATTTTTAGCAAGAGCAATAGAAATATGATTAGTCATTATAAATTTAAATTTTTTTATTTTTAGTTTTTAATGATTTTAAGAACTTTAACAATTTACAGTTGTTACGTTGTTGGTTATAGAATAGTATTCTTATTGTTATTATTATTATCATTTCATTAACAATACAGTTTACAGGAACGGAATTAATTCTTTTATTGGAAATCATCAACTTTCTGAGTTTTGATGGGCAAAACAGTTCATTCACACTTTTTGCCTGTTATCTTTAAAAAGAATAAGGTTATAAATAATTTTTTTCAGGTAAAAAAAATACATTTTTTACTTAACTTAGTTGTTTATTTGCTCGGAAAGAAATAAACTTATCAGTAATTACTCTTTTCAATACTCTAATTTGGTAATCCCTTGATTTTTGTAACCTAATGGTGTAAATCTTTAAGATTCATGTGATGAAATGTTCAACATCAGGTGAAAAAGAAATGTTTCTCATATCCACATCTTTGCAACCAGATGGGGTAAACCTTTAATATGAAAAAATTTTACTTTTGATCAAGTATATAAAAGTTGATAGTTTGAAAAATCAAAAGTTCGGTTGTAAACATATGGGATCCCGGTTTTATGCAATGGATATAGGATTAGAATATTAGGAGTATGAGGAGAGTAATTAGTTCATCTGAACACTTTTTTGTTTTTTGTTTTGTTTAAAGTTTTCTGGTTTGTACCGGAGTAAGATAACTTTCCTCCGGATGAATCCGGATTTTTATTTCCGGAATATTAGATCCAGGTTCAGAGTTTCCGGTCGGCTTGAAGGCTTTCTGAAGGTTGGACCCAAACTCATTTCTGGAAATACAAATTTATCTCCTTTTTTAGAATTCATGAATTATTCATTAAGTTACATTTAAATAGTATTTGGTTTTCTTGTCTTGGCTTTGGCAACCTAGTTTTCACTGAATAAAATTGAAATACAACCAATTCTAAATTTTTAGTTTTTAAGAGACGCTTGAAAAACATTTCAATCTTTCATAATAAGCAAAAATACTAGGGTTCAATCTTTTATTATATTATATGTTAGGATATTCTAGGTTATTCTAGGATATTCTAAGGTATTCTAAAATATGTTAGGATATTCTAGAATATTCTAAGATATTCTAGGATATTCGTGAATATTCTAGGATATCCTAGAATATTCTAGGATATTCTAGGATATGTTAGGATATTCTAGAATATCAAACCTATTTTTTCCAAGTCTGAAATAAAAATTAACCACAGCGATCTTGAAAAAAAATTATTTCTACCTTTTTGCTAATTTTCTCGTCGGTTTAATTTCTTCTATCAATCTTTTAGACGTTATTGGCGCAGAACTGAAAGAAAGAAGAGTTTCATTAAATTTAAATAAATTCTAAATTTTTCCTTTTATTAACAACCAATGCATTCCAATAGTGAGCAATTTTAAACATTTTATTTGACACTGAAAGAACTGTAAAATTAATTAAGTCTGATCCACAGCGGTACTTTTAGATTTCCTTGTTTTTGTTTTTGAAAACAAATTATTTTCAGTTGTGGTTTCTCTATAGAAAAATTGTCACAATTTAACACAATTTTTAAAATAAAACACGACGTCATCTTCCATCTTCCAATATTGATGAGATCAAGGTTTGAAGGGTACCGTTGTTAATCAGACATGCCCCTCGATAAAAAAGCGGGTTTTAATGGAAATTTCAACGAGAGTCACTTTGATAAAAAAGAATATTATTTACAATTTACAACACAGATATTATTCTTTAATCTACGCCGCTGTCTTATTGTGCTTAATCAAATGTCTTCTTGTTTTGGGAACTAACAACGATCATGTTGTACAGATCTTTGCATTTTTCAAACTATTAATTCTGTTGGATCAAATAGTCAAAGTTTTAAGTATAAAAGGTTTACACCGTTTGGTTGCAAATATTACGAGATTAAAACACTTTTTTAGTAAGGAATCAATTTTTTTTTATTTCAAAGATGTCCAAAAATGTTGCAATTGGTTTAAGTTACTCTTTTGAAATTACGTCAAGCTCTTTTTACTCTAATTTTCTGTTTTGTGAAAAGTCTTTTTAAAAATTTCCTAAACCTTGGTTTGAAAAAAGATGACACTTCAGATTCCTGAAAAAAAGTGAAATTGACCATCAATATCAAATTGTTTGTTCAAATTGATAAAATTTTCAAACAATTATCAAATTTTTCAATTCGTTGAGTTTTTCAATTTTATTGAAATGATTAAGTTGTTCGGTTGATTGCATTTTTTAAATTAATTGAATTTTTCAAATTGATTGAATTTTTCAAACTGATTGAATTTTTCAATTTGATTGAATTTTTCAAATTGATTGAATTTTTCAAATTGATTGAATTTTTCAAATTGATTGAATTTTTCAAATTGATTGAATTTTTCAAATTGATTGAATTTTTCAAACTGATCGAATTTTTCATTTTGATTGAATTTTTCAAATTGATTGAATTTTTCAAATTGATTGAATTTTTCAAATTGATTGAATTTTTCAAATTGATGAAGTTTATAAAAGAATTGAATCTTTGCCACAAACTCTGCTTTTCTAAACCCTATATCTTTGGATTCCAATGCCGTAGACCTTAGATATTTCAAACTATGAATTCTGNTTGGCTAATTCACATTGAGAACTAAATCTGATCATTTTATGTTTTTCCTTGACCAAATATTGGTTAATTCACATTGAGAACTAAATCTGATCATTTTATGTTTTTCCTTGACCAAATATTGGTTAATTCACATTGAGAACATAAATCTAATGTGCACATTTAAGAAAAATAAATGCAAAAATTACTTTGGTTTGTAGGTTAGTGCAGAAAAATTCAAAAAGAAATAAAAAAAAGATGAAAAAAGACTAAACCTGAATTTAGGGAGCAGCTCAAGACCAGGGTTAACAGATTCAACAAACTTTAAAACTAAAATTCAAATTTTAAAAAGAATTTCAAATATTTTAGTGTAAAACTCGCAGAATCTTTCTGTTATTTGAAAAATTATGATTTTTTGTGTGAAATTGTATGATGGCTTCTGAAATAAAGTTTTAAATGTATATTAAAAGAGGTTTCATCATTTTTCTCTTCACCCCCCCCCCACAAATTTTTTTATTTTTTTCCACCATAACCACCATGTATATCACTATATGTTTCGTATTCGTATACATTTTGTTCTAAAATTATAACTTCGCGGACACAACCAACCAACCAACCAACCAACCAACCAACCAACCCCTTTACCTAAATGAAGAACATTTTCTAATTCCTCCGAAGTTTGGTTTGTTAAAACTTCAGGGTTCACACAAGCACTTAAATAAATGAATAAATTAATTTAACTTTGCGATTGAAAATAAACCGCCAACATGTTTTATTTTTTTTATCACAAAAGAATCTAACACTTCTAATTGAAAAACTTTTAAACCAATAGTTATAACCAGTGTGAGATCAATAGCTTGGAATAAGGATAGGTCCATTGATTTAACCCCTTCAGTTCTAATACAGACCCAGAGCTAAGCTCAGATTGGATAGTTCTATTGATGCAACCCCTTCAGTCCTCATACGGACCCAGAGCTAAGCTCAGATTGCAAGTAGTCCGGCCTATAAGCATAACAGCCTATTAGCTCTTTTGTATATAGCTATAAGTCAAAAAAAAAGTGGGGCGAATGGTAATTCGCCTCATGTATGCGTCTGTTCGTTAAAAATGCCATCCAGAAATCATACTAGGCTTAAACCGAAACAGGGAGTTAGTAGTCTCGAGGAATCGAAAGGAAGAGGATTAACCCGTGATATAAGGCGGACAAAAGGCGGAGGGTTTGTCAGAGAGCTTTGGCTTTCTTCGATTCATCAGTATCAACCATTATTTGTTCTTTTTTATACTGTAAACATTTTTTAATTTTTAAACTTATTCACATCAGTTTTAGGCCTTATATATTTCCTTTAAATGGTAACACTGTGACACACTTAGAATTGTAAGAAAAATATCATGGGGGGGCGTACTCTTACCCCCCCCCCCCCCGTCCTTTGATTGAATAAAAAATTAAGGTTAAAAGGGATAAGTGTCGTATTAGCTAACTAAACTGCAATATCCAAATTAAATCCAAGAAATTTTACAAATCTGCAAAAATTAAAACCCAAACCGTATACAAGTTTGTTTTTTACTTTCAGTATGATAATAAAATAATAATTATTATAATTAATAATAATTATATTAAAATTATAAAAATGATAACAATTATTGATGATGATAATTATAATAATGATATTAATACTACCTATAAACAAACTGTCCTTGAACAACAATACTGTTCCCCCCTGAGATGGGGAGGGAGGGAGTTTCTCTTGAAAAATCTGGTTTTTGTACCCGCTCCCAGCTTAGCAAATTTATACAACAAGACACGTCGTGCTGAAATGATGAAAATCATTTTTAAGTTTGTTTTAATCTTAAAAGGAAATTATCATCTTAAGGAATTGAGCCTTTGCCATAAACTCAAATTTTCGAGTCTCTTTTTTCTTTGCAACCTGATGCAAAAGCTTTAGAGAAGGATTGTTTTGTTTTGAAAAATCCAAAACGATCGTTTTATAAAGTGAAGTTATTGAAAATTTCAAAACGGTCGGTTTAAAAAAATGTCGTTTTAGAAAAATAATCGTTTTCAGTTTGAAACGGGAAGCAATGTTTTTTTTTTGTCGTTTTCCGTTATAAAACAAAAAATAACATTTTTCTGTTATCCGTTTCAACAGAAAAGGATTCTTTTCCGTTTTTCGATAAAAAAAAACAAAAAAGGATATTTCTAGTATTTAAAACGGAAAACGATGATGATGAACTTTTTACTTTTTAAACAATCTCATCCCTGGATTTAGATTGATAAACATAATAAACAAAAACACAGCAGTTTAAAAGTTTTAATTGGAAACATGCCAATGTCCCATTTAGACGATTTTCAATGACTTTGAAAATGTACCGTTAACATATTAAGTTGATCATTGTTTTTATCCTTGTTTGTAAAACACCACAGATTATTTGGAATTCAGAGGTTTCACATAATTCAAAATTTTATTCTTATATATTTTATTCGTGAAATTATGCTAACTTAAGACTCTTAACGAAAGAAATAAAAAAGCATGTAACTTTAATGACGGCCAGAAATTCTCTAATTCTGAATTCTGATGTTCTGTAGATAAAACTCGGTCTTCAACATTTTAATTCATATTCTCCCCCCCCTGACAATTTCATGATTTCAGTCTTTCCAAAAAATATACATTTCAAATGAATTGAATTTCTTGCAACCAGATGTTGTTGACCATATTTCAAACTATGAAAAATTTTAGCTCAAAGAATCTAAGTTTGAAATATCAAAGGTATGCACTTATAATGCATCAGGTTGCAAACATACTGGAATAAGCAAATTTGAGTTTGTGGCAAAAACTCAAATACTTTTGAACCTTTAAATAAAGCAAAATCTAATATGATATTCCGCCATGGTGTCATATAACAACATGTATGTATTATCAATGTTCTCATATTTGCACGCATATACAGTTCTAGATATTTGAGCTTATAAGCTGGTAATGCAACTTGAGAGGTAGATTTAGAATGGTAAGAAATGGTGACAAATCATAGCAAATAAATCCTTCAGAGGTCACAAAAATGAATGTCCTCTGGAATAGGTGATCATAGTTTGTTTTTTGTTCAAGTTTTTTGTTTTGAGACGTATAACGGTTTTTAAGGCTTTCGTTTTTAAACGAAAAAGGATTTTTTCGTTTTTCAATTTTTTAATATTCGTTGTGAAAAAAGTTCTATTTCAAAACGACCGTTTCGTTTTGAAATAAATTGTGGAACTAACTTCTACTTTTTTATTCTACAGAGGTTTGGTCCAACGCCATTACAGAGTTTAAAAGATTCCCAAAATAGACACACAAAACGAAAACGATCTTTTTGAAAAAAAATCCTAAGCACATTACACATTTCATATGGCATACTTAAATAGAAGAAAAATATATAATTAACTGTTTCTTTTAAATGCTATAGCTGAATGCTTTCAAGCTAATTGACAAACGATTAATCTAAAAGTGGATTCCGGTTACCAAAATACCAAAATACCAAAATATATATTAACAATATTTATTGCGCAAAGTAAAGTAAATGATACCACAATTTGATAGAAAAATTTAAATCCTTTTATTTTTTAAACTTGTCACAAGTCTATACTTCGGGCATATACCTTAGTTTTTACAGTAATACAACAGAAAGGCTGAGGAGTGGATTGGTGAACGGAACCAGCTTTTATAGACTCTTCCACAACTTCCTGAAAACATCATTATATTTAAACGATAGGGAATATTTTTTACCTTTAAGATAACGTTCTGAAAATCTCTTATTTAAAATTCTTTGCATTGAGTTGAGATTCTATACAAATAATTCTAATTCTAAAAGGCATAGAATCCCTTTAAGAAGCCCCCCCCCCTCCAAAAAAAGATGATCAATATATCAGACAATTTATATCTGTTTATTCAAAACTAAGCTAATATAGAAAAAACTTTAATTTAATTACTATTAATTTCTTACTTGATATTTTTGCGGGTCTGATGATTTTAACTTATCCAAGGACTCCCAAATATTCTAAACAAAATTTAACAATGGTTTTATTTTCACAAAATTAGAAACAGCTTTAAAAATTGACATAGTTTGTTCATATACAGGGTGTCCCACATCATATTAGATGGTGTATAGCTCAAAATTGTGATTTTAGTGACTAATAAGAAAATTGAAAAACAATGAATCATTTTTAAAAAATATACAAGGTTTTTATAAAAGTTTTCTTGCAGAAAATACTTGGTTTTTCGAGTATTATGTGCGTATTTTGGCGTTAAAGCTTGGACGCTCTGTATCAGACGGATCCATAAACATGTAAAATAGGAAGACGACATTTAAGCAATCTTATGTATGTGAACTTGATGTTTTTTTAAAAAAAATTGTTACATCAATGCTTGAAAAAATAAATGTATTCAGAGAAATGGGTACGTGTAGGGCTGGGTAGTGGGTATGACTATGTTGAGAGTTTTTAAAGCCGTTTGTTAATGATTAATGAAACACGTATAAAATAAAACTTTTCTAGTCGACGTTCGTTATTTAGCTAGCACTGAATTTCCAAGTTTCTGTTCCATTTCATGTTTATTGGACTGTTTAAAATTATAATTTGAACAGTCCGCCGTCCTTTGGGTCTCAATTGTAGATTCACTTTAAAGCAATACATATTTTAAGTTTTGCTTATCCCAAAAAATGAGACAATATTACAGATTTTCTCAAAGATTATTTACTACGCATGATATCCATTTTGTCCCTAAATAAACCCCAACAGAATTTAATAATCTTATGTTTCTCCCTTCTAAAGCATATTATATGGGCCTTGGTTTGTGAATTGCGACACATGGGCCGGGTATAATAGTAAAATAGGCTAAATACATAGATCAGGATGGAGATAGTGGGAGTACTAGGTTCTCCGACAATGTTGAAGGGACAGGGTGTCACACGAAAAATGAGAGTTGTTTGGCGGTTTGGAGGTTTGGTTTTGCTTTTTGAATTAGGCTTTCTTTGTTCACCTTTAGGCACAAAAAAGGGCAGACTCCATTTTGGAAATGCGACCAGAGGTATTTTGTGATTATAAATTTATAGAATTCTACTGCTAAAATCATGTCTTCGAATTGTTATACATGCCCCAATTTTTTTCAAATATCAAAGAAAACTTTTAAGTTGTCTATATCAACTGGTATTTCGTGGGACACTCAGTATATTAAAAAGACAGTGAGAAAACTGCAGCAAAAAAACTATTTATAAACTAAATATTTCCAAGTGAACTTTAAATAACATTGATATCAAAGAAAATGTTATGCAAATCAAAGATGAATTAAAAATCATCACTTGCATTTAATTATGCAGTTTTGGTATAAAGAATGAATTTAAAGAAGAAGTGGTCTCAATATTATAAGTAATATTTCTAAAATGATAAGCAATCACTTAAATTAACAGAATATTATACCTGAGCAGCACTCATCAAGGTTTTCATATCTAGACAATTTAGAATAATTGTTTAAACCTTGTTAGCAGGTCGTATTATAAAGGCGAAACTGGAAAATATACTGAGTCGAATTTCGAATATTTTGGAGATACAAAAATTCAGGGGCGTATACAGGATTTTTTTCCGGGGGTAGGGCTTATAAGTCATAAACCGCTGGGGTCTAAAACCCCCTGAAAACAAAAGATTTTATTGATCCATGTGAGCCCATGAGCCCATTGTAGACGCCTCTGGAAAAATTTCCAATTTGCTTCAGTTTTTGGTCTAAAAAAATCCAGTTTTTTTTCAATCTCTTTGAGAGTATGTGATTAAGTTAGGCAGGTCTCCTCTGAATTTTATAAAACTTCGTAAGTTGGATTTTTTTTTCATGTAAATTTATATCTTGATTCTTGAATTAAATACGAAGAGAATGTATTAGTATACAAATATCCTTCCTAATTGTTCCATGATAAAAGCTCCCTGTGGACCCTGTACGTTAAATGTGTATGGTTGTATTACAAATTAACAGTTGTGTTTGATATATCGATTTAACTTTTTAAAAAGCCTAATCGACAAAACTTGATATACAGCAGTTCCAAATGTCGTCTGATAAAAGAGATTCTTTTCGAAAACGGTGTTTCTGTGAATTTTGTTTTACTTATATCCATCATTATATTCTTAGATTTTTCTTATCATAATATTAACATACCCTGAATTGATTTTAAAAGTAGATATTTAGAGATTATTTTTAATTAAAAGAAAAATCTTCTTCATCCTCAGGCTATTAACAAATCTAACCCTACACTCTTCCTAGCGAGTTTTTGAGTTTCTATCAAAGCTTTATTTATATTTTTTAAAACTTTTTGACACACTTGATTAAGGAATAATACAGGAGGTTCCGTGCTAGTATACGATTAATACAATACGATACACAACCATTAATTCTAAGTTATTTTGTATTATTTTATGGTCATTAGGCTGGCTGAACACAATTTCTGGACTGAGTGCTGCGGCTAGGACAGGCTATGGGACCGAGCGCCGAGACTAGGACAGGCTAGGGGCCGAGCGCTGCGTCTAGGACAGTCTAGGGGTTTAGTTTATGACCTCGATTTAGATTTTTTTCACCTACATATAATATTTTTTTTGATTAATTTTGGGGTGAGGTTAGGTTAGTTGGACATTTTCTGGACCATGTGCTGTGGCTAGAATAGGATAGGGGACTGAGCTCTACGGCCGCATGCATCTTACTTTGCCTATGTGTTAAATATAAAATACATGTTCAATACTGTTAAGCAGGGGCCGGGTCCTTGAAACGTTCTCTATGACATTATCAAAAACTACGTCTAATAGCATGCATATCGCTTGTATTTCTGTAATTATTTATTCTATATTTTCAGAGTGGAATGCTTGCAAGGTTTGCAGGCTGGCAATGGAGTTAAGTAGCCGGCTGGAAAATGGGAAGCGGTTCAAGTATGACAATAAGGAAAATAAGGTAACACTATACAGTCAGATTCATAAAAGTGTGGAGTAGAAAGACAACTTGTATAAAATCTTATGTTTATTTGATGTTACTTAAAAGCAAATTCTTAACTAGCAGATTTTTCAAGTGTAATAAGTCGTTGTAAACTAAACTGGAACTGTTTATGGTCATAGGACTTCTAAAATGCTTAACTTTAGCAAAAGTTGTCTCCACTTCATATTCCAAAGTTTCATGGCTTTTCCTGTATTTTATTCTTCATTTATAATAAATGGCACATCCGATTCAAGGCGTTACTCTTAAAAGCTTTTTTAGATCAAGAATGGGTTTGCTTCCATCCTCTTCTATCTATATATGTTTTTTGCTTGTCTATTTGGGTGTCTGTCCGTTTGTATCCAATAATCGTCAAATTCAATGTTTGAAAATTTTGAAAATTTTGAAAATCCACAATTTTAATTATAAAATCGGCAAAATTTGTTGTGTTTTTTTTTGTATTCAAAGTGAACAAAGAGAACATGTTCACAATTAAAATAGGAGATTTTAAAATTTTTGGTTTTATTTTTTTCGCTTATTTTTATCCTAAAACTTGATGAACCATTCAGAAATGAGGAAATTTTTATAATTTTTGCTTTTAAACGTTCAGATTTGGGGTTTTAGAGAAAAAAAAGATTTTTTTGGAAATTTTGGTTGATATTTTACCCCTTGGATTCGGATCCAGAAAGCCAAAATCTTGCGGATCCAACGGATCCGGATCCTAAGCACTATTTAAAAGTATACTTTTTATTATTCTTGCAAAAAACGCCAATATTTTCCGTATATTTGTTCAAATAAAGGCTGAAAAAGCAACGTTGTGAATCGGGCATGTATGCAAGCCAACATTTTTTAAAAAATTAAATTATTGATTTCGTCAATATTAATCTTATTCTTGAGTGTTCAGATAAACGGAAAGGATTCAGAGATGGGAGGACATTGGGCTTTTTTAGGAAAAAAATTAATAATTAAATATTAAAAAAACTAGCTTGGGAACCCAGCTTTGCTTTGAAGTCAAGTTTTCTTAGTTAAAGTAAACCTCCGAGGTTTATATTTTCACCAAAGAATTATTTTTTATGTTTTTTTTTAGATACATTTGCCAATTTTTAATGTAAACAGATGACATTTTGCTTAGGCGAGAATATGGTGCTCAGACATCTGTTCCTTGTTTACAATATTTGTTTTTGTTTACTTATTTAAAATTAAATGTAATTTTAAGTTCTGTAATCAAACCTTTTTATTCCTTCTTCATTGGTAAGAAAAAAAGTTTTTCTTAATTTGTTTTAATATAAAGCAAGAACCCAATTTCACCCATTTTTTAATAAGCTATTTGATACTTTTTTGAAGTTTTGATTTAGAGATAAGAATATATAACTAAAAATGTGTCGATATTTTGGAGGATTTTTTCGCTGTAGTTAGTTTTACGCGCATTAGACAAAAATAATTAAAAGGTTGTATTATCTATAGTAAACGATCTAAATTATAATAATTATATGATCATCCTCCTCTCTATTGAATCAACAAAATCTCAAAAAGACCAAAAAACTGTTTCTTGTTAGAAACTGAAACATTTTTTTCTGAACTTTTTTCTTACCTGGAGTTCCTGGCAGGATTATTCAAGCAACTGCGTGTGTTTTCTTTCCTTCCTGAGAGGATTATTAATGATTGTATTAGAATATGAGGACTTTACCCACACTGGCCTAGGGTTAGAAACATATACGGATGGTGTTCAGCATCCCTTGGAGCTTAGGAAAATTCTTATTGGAGACCTTTCCCAGGTTACACTTCACACTACCAACTTTAAATTTTTTACAATTTCTTCAAATGCTATTCTTTCGATTCACTATGGCACCCTATAGGCCCTGAGAAACAAACAAAAATGATTTTCTGTTAAATATCTGAGTCTCTTCTATAGAACCCCCAACTGAAAATTTTAATCCCGCTACAGAAACAGGTTCATATCGGTTATATTTGCTCAGCTTATACAAATACTTAAAGGTTATCTTTGATATCTGGCATGAAACTTATTTAAATTGGGGTCTCTTGAAATTACGTTTAAAGTCCCTTTGCTATTAATAGACTCCACGCAAATATTCTCAATATGAGGAAATCGTCGAAATTTGGTGTTAATTCAATTTTCTTAATTTTTAGGAAATGTCAGTTTCATTTCGACTAAATCACGAGGAAAACTTTAAAGCACTGGTTCATCCTAATTGCGGAAGGAATGAAGAAAATTATAGATAAATATCAAACCTGATTTTTGCATTGCAAAAAAATAAGTTGTTGTCGACAGAACTAACCATTGTTTTTCAATATTCTTGTGCTGTAATAACCAAAAATGACATCTTTCTTACTTAAATTAAGTTGTTTTCGACAGAACTAACCATTTTTTTTTAATATTCTTGTGCTGTAATAACCAAAAATGACATCTTTCTTACTTAAATTAAGTTGTTTTCGACAGAACTAACCATTTTTTTTTAATATTCTTGTGCTGTAATAACCAAAAATGACATCTTTCTTACTTAAAATAAGTTGTTTTCGACAGAACTAACCATTATTTTTCAATATTCTTGTGCTGTAATAACCAAAAATGACATCTTTCTTACGTAAAATACCGAAGTTTTCTCCTTTGTTTTACAGTTGACTCCAAGAGCAGATATTTTGGTTGTAAATATTAATTACACAAATATTACCGTCATGTCTTTACAATAATTAAAAACTTAATGAAAATGTTACCAATTTTACCTAACTATTTTCTCCAACCTTTGACAAATTAGGCACGGAGTCGAGATATTTGATTCGTCTGGTCGAGTTGTTTCAAGCTTTGGTCATCAGCAAGCTAAACTCCATGAGGTAGTTTTTTTATTTTTTTTTTGCAAAATGTGACTAGGCAAAATATAGCTCAGCTACATTTTGCCTAGTCACAATATGCCTAGTCACATTTTGCCTAGGTAACAGTTTGCCTAGGTAACATTTTGCCTAGGTAACAGTTTGCCTAGGTAACATTTTGCCTAGGGTAACATTTTGCCTAGAGTAACAAAACAGCGAATTTTTCGCCTAGTCTATAATTTTTTCACAAAGAAATTTTCAACAATCCGATAATATTTTTTAAAAATCCGCAACGTTTTTTGCAAAAATTGCGCAATTTTTTTTGATAATTCAATTTTCTATAAACCAATCAGATCGAGAGACACATTGAAAATGGCTCCCATGATAACTGCAGGGCTTTAAAAAAAAGAACATGTTCACAATTTAAATAGAAGATAGGCGCGAATCGCCCTAAAAGCCTAGTAATAAAATAATCAGAGCAGCTTCTCAGATTTCATATTTATGATTATATCATATCTGTTCGGTACTATAGAAGTAAACCTATCTTGCAAGAATATCCACTAGTACACGGTTTAGGAGAAGAAATTTCAATATTGTTGGCTTCCTAGCATTTAAGAATGCTTATTTTTACACTGCAGGTGTAGAATTTTCATTCTTTAACGTCCGTGTAAGAATGGAAAAAGATTGTATATTCTTACATGCTCCGAGCATTAAAGAATGGAAACTATTACACTCATTTCATTATTTGAAGAATATTCATTCTTACACGCCGCTCCTTATATTGATCATTTCGACATAGATCTTGATATTAATTTAATTATTTTTTACTGACAACATGCTCACTTACCTTTTTCTTTTATACTTTTTTCTTTTAAAATAAAACATGCAAACTTACTTTTTTTTACTTTATTAAAACATTCAAACTTTCCTTTTCATGCTCACTTATTTTTCGTTTTTAGAAGTATTAAAATACCTCAATTCAGGAATTTCCATTTGAATATTAACCCTAGTCCTGACAGAAGAGTGGAAGGCGGGGGGGGGGGGGCCCAACCCCCTGTATAAAATTAACTTAACTCATAAAGAATGTTTCAGAGGACTTTCGAATTTTCTGAGCTTTCCAAAAAAATTAGATTATTTTCATCAAACTACCAAGTCTCAAAGCATACTGCCCCACTGCTTAGTTTATACTAACAATGTTTTAGTTTTTCCTTATTGCAAACCAAGTTTTGTAAGCTTTTGCAAATCTCTGCATATTTCAATTAACTGTTTTCTCACTTATAAACTTAATACTGAACAAGAAGAGTGTTTCCAAAGTTCCAAATTCAGTTGTAATATTTGGACAAATCAGACAGAATTAAGAGGTTAGTTCAAAAAACTAGTTATTGCAAAACCAGTGTCATAAACTTTTGGTGGGGTCTTAGCATTCAATAGCAATAAAAAACAAACCAGTAAATCTTGATTAATAAATAAAAGACACCTCATTTCATTTCTTGAACTGGTTTTTGGTAGATAACCCGCTTATCTCTCCTCTTTTTGGAAGATTTAGGATCTAATATCCAGCAAACGATTTCATCTGTAAATGATTTCACTATTTTGATCAGTAGATTAAGAAAACCCACTACTGTTCTCTACCTTCTTTCCATTTAAAAACTCATGGCACAATTAACATGTTAGATTTAAATGTAGCGTCCACTTGAAAAATCAAGCAAATGCATTATACACTGGTAAACAAACAAAACTAAGGAAACAATACATTATTTTCAAATGACGAATCGACTCTTACTTATAAAAAGGTTTTGAACATTTTAGCATTGTAACATTAGAAAAAAAAACAGTGATATTCAGAACAAGAGCATCAATGAATTAAATCTTATTTGCAACCCTTCATAATGTCAATTTTTTTTCTTCAAATGTGATTTTTTTAAATTTGATTTTTTCTTCAAAAATTGACGATTTTTTTTTCAAAATTCATATTTTTTAATAATTCGATTTAAAAAATTCTAATGTTAACGCCGGGCACTTTAGCTAGTTATTATTAAATCATTATCATCGGACCCACAAAAAAGGCGAACTAGAGATTTCTGACTGGATTCATGACACCGAATCATATTTTTAGAGTGGAATAATTAATCCATTTCTGGGCGGACTATGGGATACTGATGACCTTAGCCCCGAGTCCATGAAGGGTGGCGAGGAGGTGGATCCGCTCAGGACTATTTCAGCTTACAGGTGAATTAATCAGTTCCTTCTTTAATTACAGGAATCATATTCTAGAAGTATATTTTCTAGAAAATATATTTCTCCCTATTAAAAATCTTATTTTTTTCTCTGAAGATGTTTGCAAGGTGCGCCAAAAAAATTTGAATAGTTTTATTTACTGAAAAGGGGAAAATAAACGATTTTTAGGGGTAAATGAATATTTTTTTGGTAAAAATTATGTGTAGGTTGTAGAAACTTCTACATTTGATGTCCTTTTTTATTCTTATTTTATTCTCCACATAACATCAAACACCCATACCCCCGGGAGGTGTTTGTCATTTTTAAATTGTAAATGGAAACCCCTGTTCTGGAATTAATGAATAATTTCTTTAAGGCGACCTGGACGACCTCCCGGTCAGCAAGGAACCTATGATCCTGAATCTGGCACCATTCGGTTTATTTGCAGGTTAACTAACTAAATTAAATCTTTCCCCCGCTGTCCGTTGAGTTTTTTATTTATTGATTGCTTGTATCATCTAGTAGACAATCGATCATTGGATTGACTAAATGAGCGATTAGGTAATCGATTAGTTAAATAATGGTTAATTGATAAAATGATTGCTTGCTTCATTCATTGTACAATCGATGGATTGACTAATGAACGATTAGACACTCTTAGTTGATTGATGGTTAATCGATTATATAATTGATTAATTAATGAATTGAAAGATTATTTGATTGATCTATTGGTTAATTAGCTTATTTATTGATTGACTTTTTGATTGATGAACTAATTGATTAGTTAATTGATTAAATTATTTGATTAATTGATTGGTTTATTGATTGATTGGCTAATTGATTGATTAATTAATTGAATCGATTGAAAATTTGATCTATTGATTTGTTCAGGTTATTTTGCGGCGCTAGTTTAGCATCAGCCAAGGGAAGAAGGAAACATGAGAAAAAACATTGTCCAAATGTACCTAAGGTATTACAATTTAAATTTTTTTTATTTAAATATTTATTTCTTAAAAACAGTTTAGGCGTAACGTTCTATATGTTTCAATCATACAGGTGGCGTTATCTGTCTTACATAATCATCTTTTGTGAATTAAACATATTTAAGGTTTTCATATAACTATTGTTTAGATTTTAAACTAGATTAGTAAAAATATGCTTTTAAAGATTAAGAGTAGTTTATTAAATTATTTTTATTTAAACCAAGAAATATTTTGTGGACAGAAATGGGAAGATGAACTTAAGAGAATATTTGAACAGGAATAAAATTAAGAAATAATTAAAAAATTTAAAATATTGATACATTTGTATACAAACGGGATCCATCTAATGGGTGGGTTTCTGTGGCCTCTAAGAGGTGGCAGACGCGTCATAAGATCAATTGTTGGACATTTTGATATTAAAAAATCTTGAAAAAAAATGAGAATTAAAATTTGAATGATAACATCAAGGAATGTAAAACTAAGGAGGGGACGGGAAACATCAAAAGATGCAGAACTAAGAAGGGTGGGAGATAAAATCAAGAAATGTATAACCAAGAAGGGTGAGAGATAACATTAAGGAGATGTAGAACTAAGAAGGGTGGGAGATAAAATCAAGGAATGTATAACTAAGAAGGGTGAGAGATAACATTAAGGAGATGTAGAACTAAGAAGGGTGGGAGATACAATCAAGAAATGAGTAACTAAGAAGGGTGAGAGATAACATGAAGGAGATGTAGAACTAAGAAGAGTGGGAGATAACATGAAGGAGATGTAGAACTAAGAAGGCTGGGAGATAAAATCGAGAAATGTAAAACTAAGAAGGGTGAGAGATAACATCAAGGAGATGTAGAACTAAGGAGGGTGGGAGATAACATCAAGGGATGCAGAACTAACATTGTCATTTGTGTGGCAAAAATGTTTCTTGGCCCCGGTCGATCCATTGGAAACAAATAGACAAGTCAAGTGTTGGTTATAGAAGTTTAAATTCTAATAATAAACCTTTTTTATTCGTTGTGTTTAGGACCCATTCGGAGGATTTCCAATGTTTTACTCCCCCAACAAACTACTAGGTAACATTTTGTCTTTCTTAGATTATTGTAATGAGAGGGCGCGATATTCAAAGGGAAGTGAATTAAAGTTTAAAGGAAATTTGGTTTGAAGTTAAAAGGGAAGAAGCTTGAAGTTTAAAGGGAAGTGAATTGAAGTTTAAAGGAAATTGGCTTGATGTTAAAAGGAAGATGCTTGAAGTTAAAAGGGAAGAAGCTTGAAGTTAAAAGGAAGATGCTTGAAGTTTAAAGGAAAGTGGCTTGAAGTTTAAAGGAGTGGCTTGAAGTTAAAAGGAAGATGCTTGAAGTTTAAAGAAAGTGGCATGAAGTTAAAAGGAAGATGCTTGAAGTTTAAAGGAAGTGGCATGATGTTAAAAGGGAGATGCTTGAAGTTTAAAGGGAGTGGCTTGAAGTTTAAAGGGAGTGGCTTGAAGTTAAAAGGAGTGGCTTGAAGTTAAAAGGAGTGGCTTGAAGTTAAAAGGAGTGGCTTGAAGTTAAAAGGAAGATGCTTGAAGTTTAAAGGGAGTGGCTTGATGTTAAAAGGAGTGGCTTGAAGTTAAAAGGAGTGGCTTGAAGTTAAAAGGAGTGGCTTGATGTTAAAAGGAAGATGCTTGAAGTTTAAAGAAAGAGGCATGAAGTTAAAAAGAGAAGAGGCTGGAAGTTAAAAGGGAAGAAGCTTGAATTTTAAAGGAATGAGGCTTGAAGTTTAAAGGGAAGAGGCTTGAAGTTTAAAGGGAAGAAGCTTGAAGTTTAAAGGGAAGTGAACTGAAGTTTAAAGGGAAGTGGCTTGAAGTTTAAAGGGAAGAGGCTTGAAGTTTACAGAGAATTGGATTGAAGTTTAAAGGGAAGTGAATTGAAGTTTAAAGGGAAGAGGCTTGAAGTTTAAAGGGAAGAGGCTTGAAGTTTAAAGGGAAGTGAATTGAAGTTTAAAGGGAAGAGGCTTGAAGTTTAAAGGGAAGTGAATTGAAGTTTAAAGGGAAGAAGCTTGAAGTTTAAAGGGAAGAAGCTTTAAGTTTAAAGGGAAGTGAACTGAAGTTTACAGGGAATTGAATTGAAGTTTAAAGGGAAGTGAATTGAAGGTTAAAGGGAAGTGAATTGAAGTTTAAAGGGAAGAGGCTTGAAGTTTAAAGGGAAGAGGCTTGAAGTTTAAAGGGAAGAAGCTTGAAGTTTAAAGGGAAGTGAACTGAAGTAAGGGAAGAGGCTTGAAGTTTAAAGGGAAGGGAATTGAAGTTTAAAGGGAAGAGGCTTGAAGTTTAAAGGGAAGAGGCTTGAAGTTTAAAGGGAACAAGCTTAAAGTTTGAAGGCTAGAAGTTTAAAGGGAAGTGACTTGAAGTTATAAGAAAAGGGGCTTAAAGGGAGAAGTTTAAATGAATTTGCGCGAAGTATGAAGGGAAGCTGTGCCAAGTTCAAATGGACTTGAACTTTAAAGGAAAGGTGTACAAGTTTTTTTTTTCAAACTTTCCGTTAAAAGTTTATTACAGTTGACGTGGAACGTCGAACGGTAAGAAGAGTCTAATGTCGGCATAATTCATATATTTATAGATTGGCCGATTCACAATTTCACTACGGTACCCCTAAAAAAGTTCTCTGATCAAGAATGAATAAGCTATGCTGTTTTTGAAAATTGATAGTTTTTAATAGATTTTAAAGTTATTGCAGATATCTGTATGAAGAAACAATGTAGTTTATTGTCTGAAAGAATCATTTCAAGTTAAAAAACGACGATATCATGTACACAATATTGATCAGATAAATGTTTAAGAAACACTATTGTAAATGCCCCTCTTTGAATAGAGGGTCAGTTAAAATTACAAGGGCCAGCTAGGTTAACAATGAAAGTTTTCTATATGGACTGTTGAAATCTTTTTCAACAATGTTTCTTCACTGTTCAGGACATTCCTTGTTTGGAGCAAAAATTCCTGTTAAGAAGCAAGAATGGTTCGAATGCAGGTATTTTCCTGAAGATGTAAATTAAAATTTCAAAAGTTTATTTTCGTTGAATTTTTAAAGACTACTCGATTTATAATTTTCCAAAAAGCGTTGTTGGTTGTAATACAATGTAGTGCTAAGAATCCAATTAATTTATATGTGGATCTGCCCTTAAACATGGACTTACTGATATTTTGAGCCAAATAGAATGCTCAAATTAATCTATTTGTTTTTTATTTGCTTTTTTTATGCTAAAGCTTTCAAAGATAAGGAAATTTGTAATTATGTCTTGTTTTTAAAAAAGTTCAGATTTGGTGTTATGAGAACAACATTTTTTTTTAGTTTTTGATTCATATTTTGCCCCTTGGATTCGCTTATTTTTATGGATCTGGATCCAGGATGCCAACATATTGCACTGATTCAATGACAAGTCAAATAAAAAATTCTAGTATTTGTCGTAAAATAAATGAAAATTCGAATTCTAGGATTTGTGGTAAAATTCTGAAAACCTACGAGGGAAGACGACTCCATGAAAAGACTCAACATCTTCCAAAAAAGGGAAACTTGGATATAGCATTTTTAAAATTTTTATCCTCCGCCATCCTTTATAATCAACTTCTTCTCAAAACCCACTCACAAATATCCTGTATTTAACCCTATATCCCTGGATATACTGTATTTAACCCTATATCCCTGGATATCCTGTATCTAACCCTATATCCCTGGATATCCTGTATCTAACCCTATATCCCTGGATATCCTTTATTTAACCCTATATCCCTGATATCCTGTATTTAACCCTATATCCCTGGATATACTGTATTTAACCCTATATCCCTGGATATCCTGTATCTAACCCTATATCCCTGGATATCCTTTATTTAACCCTATATCCCTGGATATCCTGTATTTGACCCTATATCCCTGGATATACTGTATTTAACCCTATATCCCTGGATATACTGTATTTAACCCTATATCCCTGGATTTCCTGTATTTAACCCTATATCCCTGAATATCCTGTATTTTACCATATATCCCTGAATATCCTGTATTTAACCATATATCCCTGGATATCCTGTATTTAATCCTATATCCCTGGATATATTGTATTTAACCCTATATCCCTGGATATACTGTATTTAACCCTATATCCCTGGATATCCTGTATTTAACCCTGTATCCCTGAATATCCTGTATTTTACCATATATCCCTGGATATCCTGTATTTAATCCTATATCCCTGGAAATACTGTATTTAACCCTATATCCCTGGATATCCTGTATTTAACCCTATATCCCTGGATATACTGTATTTAACCCTATATCCCTGGATTTCCTGTATCTAACCCTATATCCCTGAATATCCTGTATTTAACCATATATCCCTGGATATCCTGTATTTAATCATATATCCCTGGATATACTGTATTTAACCCTATATCCCTGGATTTCCTGTATTTAACCCTATATCCCTGGATTTCCTGTATTTAACCCTATATCCCTGGATATCCTGTATTTATCCCTGTATCCTTGGATATCCTGTATTTTGCCCTATATCCCTGAATATCCTGTGTTCAACCCTTTATCTCTGGATATCCTGTATTTAACCCTATATCCCTGGATATCCTGTATTTAACCCTATATCCCTGGATATCCTGTATTTTGCCCTATATCCCTGAATATCCTGTGTTCCAACCCTTTATCTCTGGATATCCTGTATTTAACCCTATATCCCTGGATATCCTGTATTTAACCCTATATCCCTGAATATCCTGTATTTAACCCTATATCCCTGGACATCTTTGTTTAACCCTATATCCCTGGATATTCTGTATTTAACCCTATAACTCTGGATATCCTGTATTCAGCCCTATATCCCTGGATATCCTGTATTTAACCCTTTATCCCTGGATATCCTGTATCTAACCCTATATCCCTGGATATCCTTATTCAACCCTATATCCCTGAATATCCTGTATTTAACCCTATATCCCTGGATATACTGTATTTAACCCTATATCCCTGGATATCCTGTATCTAACCCTATATCCCTTGATATCCTGTATCTAACCCTATATCCCTGGAATACTAGATCCCTCCGTTTGAGAATAATAATATAGAAGGAAAGGGAAAAGAGAAAACTCAGGTGACCGTCATATCATTTTATGTTTTATCTATAGTTTTCTTTTATTTAGTTATCACCTTGATCTATTTATTTTACCACAACAAATATTTTATTTTCTTGAGTACCATTTTTATCTGGATTATTTATTAACACCAAATTTTTAAGTTATTCTTATAGTTAGATCAGACACAAACACAGATACAGGCACAGATATATATACAGATACACAGATATATATACAAATACACAGATAAATATACAGATACACAGATGTATATATACAGATACACAGATACATATACAGATACACAGATACATATACAGATACACAGATATATATATACAGATACACAGATATATATACAGATACACAGATACATATACAAATACACAGATATATATACAGATACACAGATAAATATACAGATACTCAGATATATATACAGATACATGTACAGATACACAGATATATATACAGATACACAGATACATATACAGATACATAGATACATATACAGATACACAGATATATATACAGATACACAGATAAATATACAGATACACAGATATATATACAGATACACAGTTACATATACAGATACACAGATACATATACAGATACACAGATATATATATACAGATACACAGATACATATATAGATACACAGATACATATACAGATACACAGATACATACACAGACATATAAATAGATATACCCAGTTAGCAAGATTTGCATATACAGACACGGATCTTTATGTTTGAATGAAATATTTTAGGCTCTTGACTCTATCCCTACCAAACAACTCGGACAGGAGAAGTTCAAAGAACTGATAAAAGTCGAGGATGATGATGATGATGACGATGACGACGATGACGATGATGATGACGAAGAAGAAGAGGAGGAAAGAGAGCATGGTAAAGAAGAAGGAGTAGTAGAGCAAGTAGGAGGAGTAGGAGATGTGTGAAACTATTTTGTCACGAAAAAAGTTAAAACGAACTTTTTTCCATTTTTGAGCTTGCTTTGGACAAAACCAAATATTGTCGGAAAACCGTAAATACCAAATTTTGGGTCTCGGGAAATATTTATATGTTATTAAACGCAGTTTATTTAGATTGACCATCGTGCTGGCCCCTCTCCCTCCCCCCTCCCTTTCCAGTGTGGATTCCCCCCCTTTTCGGCGAGAACGCCCCTTCTCCTCTGCCCACCCCCCCCTTCATTTTGTGCGTACCTTTCAATCTACGCATTACACACAAAATTTGAATAATTGTGAATGTTCTCATTTAGTTCCTAGCACTCAATGGAATCCATCATTTTGTTCATTTTCAAGAAAACAAAATTTACACTTAGGTTAACAATTTAGTTATTTAAAGTTACCAATATTTAGTCATTATACCTGTGTTAAATTCATGTTTAATTATATATATCTATATGTATACACTAAAGAGCATCTTAATTAAAGTAAATTTACATACATTTTTCAATGATTTTAGTCCTTGAGAAGTTTACAGTTATTGCTGGTAAACCCAAATTCATTTTATGAAACGAAAATTTTTGCTATATTCGAATTGAATGTCTATTTTTGAGCAGGGTTACAGCAAAATTCAATGATAATTTTTTCAAGAATTTTTTAAAAAGAAAGTAGACGTTGGAATTTTTGTCAATGGGAGGGACCTAAATTTAGCGCCAACCACCTTTTGGAGTCGTAAAATTCCCACACACGACCCTGCTTCCATGTTAGTCAGTAAACTAGTTGTCTAATTGTATATTTGAATGTCTGTATTGTTTTCATATCTGTATATTTTTACAAAGGTGTCTGGTGATTCGATACCTTACATTAATGATTGTGGTGTTTTCAGATTTAGTAAACATGTTGAAAAACTTGAGAAACCTGGCCAAACCTGCTCTCCAGGTAAATAATATAGAAAATATTCTTAGAATAATGAGACAGATGTTGTTTATGTTCCTTGATAAGGAAAGGAAATGGCCTCGTCATTATTAAACAATGTCCAATATATATGTTTAATAAGGGGTGTATATTTTTAAGACGGAGGGTAAATTAATTGATTTTTGAACGATTTGGTGGGGGGAACATGAAAAATCGGATATTATAAAGGGCAAGTTTTTTATTTTTTTATTTTTTCCCTTAAAAACCAATTAATTTCCCTAAATTCAGCGAAAAAAAACCTTAAAAAATGCATACACAATTTCTAGGGAAAGAAATGACTTTTTCGAAAAAATATACATCCCTGTGTTTAACCCTGCGGTTTTAAAAATTCGATTGTTAATGTTTATTTTTCTTTGATGGATATTAAAATGGATAATAATAGTTGTCAACAATAACAAGCGTTTCTCGAGATGAAAATTGTGACCACCCTGTCATCCTTGATCAGACAAAAGTTTCAAGGCACCGATGTAAATCGCTCATGCCACGCTACAAATAGAGGGTCTACTGCAATTATGGTTGATGTCATATTTTTTGACTTTTTTGTTACATTTTCTGCAACTTCAGGTTCGCCTCTGCAGTGGTGGTGAAGGTGGGATGAAGGGTATTCCAGGATCCGGCGCAGGACTCGGGGGCGGAGGAGGCGGATCCATCAGGTTAGTCACGGGAGGGGGGGTTAAGTATATTCCTGGATTCGATGAAGGACTCAGAGAGGAAGGAGGTGAATCCATCAGGTTTGTCACGGGATGCGGAGGAGGTGGATCCATCAGGTTAGTCATGGAAAAGGGGTTAAGTGTATACCTGGATCTGGTGCAGGACTCGGTGGCGGATCAATCAGGTTAGTCATGGGAAAGGGGTTAAGCGTATACCTGCATCTGGCGAAGGACTCGGGGGCGGATCCACCAGGTTAGTCATGGGAAAGGGGTTTTGTGTATTCCTGGGAGACGGGGGCGGATCCATCAGTTTAGTGGGTGGAGATTGTGACAATAACTTGATTCGTTTGTCTAGAACTTTGAAGGGGTTTGGACTTTTCTAATACGCAATTACTGTTAACTTGTGAAGATTACAATATATGTAAAAGTTTGCTCTTTGAAACTATGCCACATTTTTATTCTACATATGGGAATATAAGATAAATACTNCCCCTGTTGAAATAATTATGCCTGAGAATTCAGAAGTTGTGGATTTTTGCGCATAGCAGAATTTTTTTTATGGTTTTATCCGCTAAAATGGGGAATTTGAAGTATCCAAAAGAAAAGTTTCCTGCTTTGGTTGATTCTGAGAAGACTTGAAATACATTTTGATCGTGCATTTCTTTTTTGTTGTGCGTCCTATTTTACTCCCTATAAATCAGGTCTGCTGGAGGTAGTTTTGGCAAGATGGAGGCAGCCCGCGAGGATCAATTCTTCTATAATAAACAGAAAGAAGAAATGAAGAAAATAAAGTAAGCTACTATCTATCTATTCTTCGAAAGTTACCATTTAAAGGGATTGTATTTTTTTTTCTGTAGTTTCTCGATCATATTTTTGCTTGTGATAGTAGACATTTTTCAAATTATTTCTAGAAAGAGCGTGACCATCAAAATCGATAAAAAAAGAAGAAAAATTGTTAAAAATCACAAGAAAATAAACAAACAAAAAAGATTTTTGAAAATAAAAATTTCGGCTGTCAAATGGACATAAGGGAAACGAACTCAGATTATGAGATGGAAAAAAGATAATTTGCGAATATTCACTTTAAAAAAAAAATGTTTTAAGACAATTATTATTCCTTGAGATTGTTTCTGTCACAAAGAATAAAAACAAACTGTTTAGATGTATGTGTATTGTGTATACAGTGGTGGTGGGGGTCCATCTAATTAATGAAATCGGGGGGAGGGGGAGGGGGGGACGGCTTGTTAAAAATCTCATTCACTCTTCAGTTCATTATTTAATTTGTTGAATTTGTATTTCCTTGTTTCAAAGCTTTAAACTTTTCTTTTTAGTGAGGAAGCAGAGAAAGCTAGACTGCTGGAGGAGAAGGAAAAGAAGAATAAAGAAAAATAAAAAGTAAGTTTTGTTGGGATAAAATCAGTGCTTAGGATCCAATTAAATTTAAGACTTACTGAATTTTTTAGCAAAAAATAATTTTCAAATTTTTTGTTTTATTTTTTTTTGCTTATTTTTATTATAAAACTTGATGAACCTTTAATAAATGGGAAATTTTACCCCTTGGATCCGGATCCGTGGATCCGCTTATTTTTGCGGATCCGGATCCAGGAAGCCAAAATCTTGCGGATCCAACGGATCCGGATCCGGATCCTAAACACTGGATAAAATATAGTCTGAAGGAAGATATACTAGAAACATCATATCTTTGTTTACATATAAAAATACTGCAATGTTTGGGAGGAATGTAAACAAACTGCTGAATTTTGCTGATAATATCCCTCCCAGACTAGCTGGTGATACTGGTGTTCTTCCTCGGGATGCAGTTCGACGATCATGAAACCGGCAAATTCGAACCGCAGAATTTACATCCGAATCCATTTGGCTAGGGATTTTGATTCGAGAGGATCCGGCTCAATGAAATTTCTAAATTCTTATGCAAAACAAAGTTAACGTTTTTTCTGACAATTTTCCTTTTAAATCGCAACTTCATTCTTCCCAATTCCGCAATATATGAATCCTTAAAAATAATTCTTTACCATATGGGGGGGGGTATTAATTTTCTGAAGATAGCATATTTAATTTAAATCTAATATTCACCCCATGAAATCTGGATTATTATAGGTCGTCAATAAATGTCTCAATCTTTGTTTGAATAAAACTCTGATTTGATTTTTAAGTATAAAAGTTCTGATTTTAGAATTATGAAAATCAAAACGAAATTAGATCTTTCTGTTTATTTATAGATAGATAAACGGTTAAATATACTGCTGACTGCTGACAAGGCTAAACGCAATGATTGGAAATATTTTTAAGAATATTTGGACTTCAACTTTTAATATTTTGAAAAGGCAATTTGTTTTATTTTTTGCGTCACAATTATTTACTTTGAACATATTCTTAAAAAAGTGAGAGAGGAAAACTACGGAAAATTTTTTTAAGCTCCTCGTTTTTTTAGAGGAGACAGTAAGAATTTTCTGTTTATAAATAACAAATTTTAAAAATAGCATTGGGTTGGGGGGACCATTATTTTTAAACACAGCTGATCTGTGACCTAAACGTGTTTTATGAAAACATTTTTATTGAGTTCCTATCAAGGAATATCAAATTAAAATTGCACTTTGCACTCTCAAGTGTGCAGGGGTAAATATTATTTATATTTTGAAGAAATTTAATTGGGAATGGGATTTGTATGAATTTCGATGGTTTGAATGAAAAAAAAAGAAGAAATTAGTTATTAAGTTGCGTTTTGTTTAATTAATACTACCCCATAAATCATTAATATTCCCAAATGTAGGGATGATTAAAACAATCCAGATTTATTGGTAAAAGATGATTTTTAGAGATAAGGAGGGTGATTTTTAACACTATATTCTTGAACGCATATTTATTTTCCGAAAATTCAAAATTGTAAAAATTAAAAAATTCATCCCTGTTTTTTTATATTTGACCTGTAGTTTGATAAGCTTAGTATCCTAGAACTCTCTAGCATAGTAGACACATTTTTACATATCAGCAAATTTTGCTAATTTGTGACTTACTGTGCCCCATTCTGCTCCTCTATCTTGTACTTTTTATACAATTTTATTTTATCTAAGAATTTTTTTTTAATATTTGATTTTAATTTTTAGATTCCAGAGTTTTGAGAGGGTCAATCTCGCCTCCACTCCTTGGTTGGCCCCCTCTCTACATTCTACATTCTGAAATTCTATAGTGATTTGTCAGCATTTTTTGTTTGATCGATATTTCTAAACAAATATTCTGAATGATTTTTATATACCTATATTTGTACAAACCACCCTGATCTCTCTTTACATTTGTCAGATAAAATATTTTGTCAGGTTTGCCCTAAAAATCCTAAAAATTTTGGCTGTGAATAAATGAGAATTTAATTTATCTTTTTAATTTATCCACCGGCAGATCAGCTGGTTTGCTTTTGAGAAAGTATCGCTGAGTTTTATTATATAATGCGATATTTTTATATATTTTGTATTTTCAGATAAAAATGCCGCCTGTTGAAGCCGAGCTTGTTCCTCAAACTGATAAATATAGGTAAAGTATAAAGTGTGGACTGCCATCAAACTTTTACGTACTTTATCACGCATAGTCACTATATGGTAACATTATTGTATTTCCTAATGTTATAATTGCGGCCTCCTAGCAAAGGTTCTCTTAAAACTCATTCTTTCTCCTGATGGCTTGATATCAAAGAGAATAGAGTGGAATTCATCGTGCTGAATATTTTAGCACGATGAAAATAACTGTTTATAACACTATTATTTTGGGTCGCAGTGCTATATCATTTTTGAACAGAACATTTCTCTTTACCGAGACTACCGACTTTATACTAGAAATTCAAGGCGCTTCGCGCCCTTCTTTCTAGGATTTTAGGGCGCTTCGCGCTAATCTTCTATTTAAATTGTGAACATGTTCTATTTGTTAACATTTAAAAACAAAGAAGAAAATTTTTTTTGCGGATTTAAAAAAAAAATACGCGAATTTTTAAGAATTTAATTTTTTTTGCAAAATTAAAAACCTTTAAAACACATTTTTTTAAATTTTTATCATTCATAAACCTTCCCTGTGGTCACGGGATGTCCCTCAAAAAATTTGGGCCCGATCGATTCAGCCGTTTTGACGTTTATTGGATACAAACAGACAAGCCAAATTTATATATAGATTTAGAATATAGATTCACAATCGCTTTTATTTTATCACAATGTTTTCAAAATGTCTATTTCTCGTAGATTATAACTCGGGACATATATATTATTGTTTTAACTATTAACAGTCAACCTACAAAGTATCATAACCTGTAGGTTATAATAATTTATTGTTTAATTTAAAGACTTTAACCTTCTCGAGAACCAGAAAATTTCTGTCCAGATATTAATGAAAAAACTGTCTTTTGAAGTCACATTTTTAACTTCCCCCCCCTCCGGGGAGGGGGGCTGTAATTCTGGAAAATATACCCCAGGATCAAAAGTCCCATCCAGTTTTCTAATATTGATTTCGACATCAAGACGATTTTTAAAAATCATAAAAGTTTGAATTGAGAGTTTTTATATTTGTAATATTTATGAAATTTAATATTTTTAGTCCTATTCTGCATGGTATCCGAGCTGTATTGTTGGGTCCTCCTGGAGCTGGAAAAGGAACACAATCTCCAAGATTAAAGGTAATCAGGAGAAAAGGAGGGGAATAAAATAACCTTTCTAAATGTTTCAAAGTTAAGGAAAAAATGGAAATGATCACAATGTTTTATGGTTTTGATACACGTTCCTCTAGATTAGTTTTCCCCGTACATTTAAAATGTGCAACGTAAGAAAACGTTTCTTAAAAAGCTTTGGGAGGGGGGGGGGTGTATTTGTACGCAGTCCCTGGAAAAAATTGGAATATATAATAGACCATAGCATTTCATCATTCCATTCATTTAAGAACTACCCATGCCTGGACAGTGGTAAGATTTGTCAATTTTTTGACTTCGGGTAAACATTTGCCCCCCCCCCCAGAAAAATATACACCCCTGCATCATTTTTCAAGGATTTTTCCCGTTTCATCCGTTTACTTTCGTTGATTTGGTTTCAAGAATTTTTGTCTCGTCTTTATTTTGATAACAATAAAAATATTTTTTGCCAGGAGCATTATTGTGTGTGTCATCTTGCAACAGGAGATCTTTTGAGAGCTGAAATATCTTCAGGTAAAATAAAAACAAAAAGACCGTTGGGCTCAAGGTAATAGCTTAAGGAAAGTTAATTGCTTTTGTGTATTATTTGCGAACATATTTAAGCCAGTTCTCTCTGGGCGGTGTTTTTATATAAGAACAGATGCATCAGTGTTCGTTTAGTATGCGAGGAGGATAAAAGCATTAAATTTTGAATATTTTGATAAGTCACATAGGACCAGAATCCCTACATTCGTGCTTCCAGGGAGCACGCATGTAGGGATTCACTTTTAGGAACCAGGCATATAGGGGCCTTCACTTCTGGAGGGCTACACACACACACAGGGGTGCTCTTCCAGGAACCACGTACATAGGGGATTACTTCCAGGAACCACGTACTTATGGGATTACTTCCAGGAACCACGTACATAGGGGATTACTTCCAGGAACCATGTACATAGGGGATTACTTCCAGGAACCACGTACATAGGGGATTACTTCCAGGAACCACGTACATAGGGGATTACTTCCAGGAACCACGTACACAGGGGATTACTTCCAGAAACCACGTACATAGGGGATTACTTCCTGGAACCACGTGCATAGGTGATTACATCCAGGAACCACGTACATAGGGGATTACTTCCAGGAACCACGTACACAGGGGATTACTTACAGGAACCACGTACATAGGGGATTACTTCCAGGAACCACGTACATAGGGGATTACTTTCAGGAACCACGTACAAAGGGGATTACTTCCAGGAACCACGTACACAGGGGATTACTTCCAGGAACCACGTACACAGGGGATTACTTCCAGGAACCACGTACATAAGGGATTACTTCCAGAAACCACGTACATGGGGGATTACTTCCAGGAACCACGTACACAGGGGATTACTTCCAGGAACCACGTACATAGGGGATTACTTTCAGGAACTGCACATTTTAAGGGTTTACATTCATTCAATGAGGCATCTTGACTTTCTGCAATATCTTTTGTGTGCGGTGCACCTTGCACAATAACATTATCGGTATTAGGATTTAAATACTGTAAATCAGGAATTTCCGCTGTGCATAGTGCAATCTGCAATCTGCATATCTACGAAGTTAGGCACTATTCTAACCTCTTTGGTCAAATGAGGTTCAGATTTGGTTCAACCATTTCCAAAATATTATCAGCAAAGAGACTAACTTAGTTCTACTTCTAGGCAGTGAGCTTGGTCAAGAAATTAAAGAAGTTATTGATCAAGGGAAACTGGTAAATACACATTATACATTATACAATATATACATTAAACAAATAATGAGATGATTAACATTATCTTAAATTAAACGCAGAGCGTTAACCTAATTTGTCTAAGAAAAATGTAAACTCGCACAGTAATACAAAAATAATCATTTTTTAAATTTCATCATGGATTTTTTTCCCTGTAAATTTTAACAAAAAAACAGTCGTAGATGGTATACACACTTAAACAATATATATTATAATGTAGTAATAATTCTGTTCGTTTGTACGTTCCATTTTAACTCATGAACCCCTTGATGTCCGAAGGGGTGATTTGCGAAGATTGAATAAAAAATTCGATGTTAACCGACAGTTTTCCGACTTTTTGATGCCAAAAATATCATCTATGTTACAATTCTGTGATAAAACCTTAAAGTTTAAAGGCAAACTTACCAAGATGTTGGGGGAGAATAGGAAGGGAAGAGTGAGGACAAAACTTTATAAAAAAAATTGTGTCTAGGTAAGCGATGAGCTGGTTTTGCGAATGGTTTCTGATAACTTGGATAAACCTGAATGTAAGAACGGTTTCCTGCTTGACGGGTTCCCCAGAACTATTGGACAGGTCAGAAATATGATTTATTAAAGGGACTGTAGACATAATTTAAAGTGAACCTCAATGCCCGACTCACAGCGGTACCATTCAAATCTTTGAGCAAAATGATGAAGATATCAATGTTTTTCTGAAAAGTTGATTACATCTAACAGTGAGTTTCCTAAAAAAACGTCAATTTCCGAGACTGAAAAAGACGATACTTTCTCATAAGATAATAAAGACTAATTTTTCATAACTTCCTGTTTTCATATCCATGTAAATATACGAAATATTTGTACCAGGCGGAGAAGCTAGATGTAATGCTGGAGAAGCGCCAGCAGCCTTTGGATGCCGTGGTGGAGTTCGCCATTGATGATAATCTTCTTGTTTCGAGGATTTGTGGAAGATGGTTTCATCTTGCCAGTGGCAGGTATCAATCAATCAATCAATCAACCAATCAATCAACCAATAATTGGTTTTGTACGCCGTACAGCATGTGTCAAAATGAAAATGGGAATCGAGTGATGACTGCGAGATCGTGTTTCTAAAAAATTATAATTGTAAGACCTAACTTCTAAATTGTTACGTTTGCTTCAGTTTCTTTTATGTTGGAACAAAATTTTTTTAAAGAATTTTTCTAGGTCTTATCATGAAGAATTTCACCCTCCCCGTGTTCCTGGCAAAGACGACATTACAGGTAGTTTTTATAATCTAGGATTAAGTTTCGGAACAGAAAATAGTAATATGAAAAGAAATATCTTACTATTACACCTCATCCATCACCCTTTCCACAATATATTTACTTGCTTTCGTAATACAGCCCGATTTTCCACAAATAACTCTTAGGCTAATATTGTTCTCTATGATGTCAGTTATCTCAAGAATTTTTTTTTATACCATTGATAAGTGGTCGTGCAAGGCCCGTGCAGATAGCAAAAAATCTACATAGCTCAAAAAAATTATTTCTTGGATTTTTTTTTAATTTCAAAACTTGACTGAGCACACTGCTGAAAATGGACCATCAGGTTTCAAGTCAAAACACCTAAACTTTTTCTTTGGATTATGTATATATGCACTGCAGGCTACTGAGTTATATTCTCAATTTTCAGAAAATGCCACCTTGGGAATTTTGAGCAAATCAATTTTTAAGAAATTGTAGAAATCAAGTGCATTCACAGGTCTTAAATTAAACAAAAATTTCATTTCAAGACTTTTTTCTGCTTCTTTAGGGTTTTTTGACGATATTTTTTTAACATTATATGACATGGTCTCCAAATTTTTTTATTTTTCTTTAACAAAACCCCTAACTCAACTGCCTGACTGTCAAAATGTGGCCCGAAAAAGGTTTTTTGATGTAATTTTTATTAATTTCACTTGAAAAATTCTTCTTTAGTAATTGGGCAATTATACAGTTCACTTAAGGCTTTGATATTTTTTGCTGAACCATGTCTTATGACTGTTAAGGAAAAATTTAAGGACCCTGCCTTCAACGGTTCTAAAATTATCGCAAAAAAAACACAGAATAATCTTGATTAATCTTTGAACCTACAGTTACGATTGAGTTTAGACTTAAAAATACACTTAATTCTATAATTTCTTTCAAATGGAATTAATTAAAACTCCCTAGGTGGCATTTTCTGAAAATTTAGATTATAACTCAGAATCCTGCATATTAATATATTCCGAAAAAAGAATTAGGTGTTTTGACTTTAAACCTAATGTTTAATTTTCAGCAGTGTGTGAGTTAGACCAAAAAAGCACGTCAAAAATGCGAATTTTAAAGAAAAATACATTTTTCGGTGGTTTTTTTTAACCTAACGCAGTAAGTTTTTGAAATTTTTTAAAATTTTCAATGGATTTAATCTTTTCAGACAATTACGAAGAAAATGATATATGCAATAATTTTTTTTAGCTATGTAGACTTTCATGCGATCTGCACGGGCCTTGCACGACCGTCGACCACTTCCCTTAATGGCTAAAAAAAAATATCCTGTGAAAACTGACACCATAGAGAACAATATTAGCCTGAGAGATATTTGTGAGACAACATTTCTATATTTTGTTGTAAAATGGGGCACCCTACTCCTACTTTATATACATTGATGACTCATACAATTATTAGCCTGAGAGATATTTGTGAGACAATATTTCTATATTTTGTTGTAAAATAGGACACCCTACTTTATATACATTGATGACTCATACAATATTAGCCTGAGAGATATTTGTGAGACAATATTTCTATATTTTGTTGTAAAATAGGACACCCTACTTTATATACATTGATGACTCATACAATTATTTTTCAAAAATTGTTTCTATGAAGGAAAGCTTAGCTAAATATGATATCTCTTGTTCCGAAATAGTGTTCTCCCTCTTCTCCCAATTCACCCAAAAAAAATCCCAATTTTTTAGAAAGACACGAAGGGAATTTAAATATGTCAATTACAAAAAAAAACAGATTTTTGAACCTAATGTATTTGTATTTTTAGGAGAAACTTTGGTGAAAAGATCTGACGATAATCCAGAAACTTTAAAGAAACGGTTACAGCAGTATCATGCTTTAACTAGTCCTCTAGTCGACTACTATAGGTAAACTACCCCTCGCCTGCTTTAACTAGTCCTCTAGTCGACTACTATAGGTAAACTACCCCCTCCACCGTCTGCTTTAACTAGTTTTCTAGTTGACAGTTATAGGTAAACTACCCCCCCCCCTCCACCTTCTGCTTTAACTAGTTTTCTAGTTGACAGTTATAGGTAAACTACCCCCCCCCCCTCCACCCTCTGCTTTAACTAGTTTTCTAGTTGACAGTTATAGGTAAACTACCCCCCCCCCCTCCACCGTCTGCTTTAACTAGTTTTCTAGTTGACAGTTATAGGTAAACTACCCCCCCCCCCTCCACCCTCTGCTTTAACTAGTTTTATAGTTGACAGTTATAGGTAAACTACCTTTAAGTCAAATAAGTCAGTCGAAGAAATGAATTCAATATGTTTCGAATATCAATCATTAAATAAATAAGAATCAATCACTTCAATTAAGAAATTTTTAGACAACGAAATTTGCATACGCGGGTTGATGCGTCCCAGCCTGCTAACAGTGTTTTTGCAGAGATTAAAGCTATCTTTGATCAAGCTAAAGGTGAGAATTGACTGGAATAAGAATGTGAGAAAAAAAATGATCTGAAAATAGTATGTGAAATAAAAAAGAAATAGTCAAAATTTTAATCGATTGGTGCACCCTGAATTTTTTTTAATGCTACTTTTCAACGACCTTGCAAATTTTTCCCTAAAAGTAAAAACATCTTCATTGGATATATTTCGAGTGTGACAATATAAGATAAAACATAGAGAATATTATTTTCCTTTAAACAAATCTTTTTTTACTTCTCCAAGGGAGTTTTAATGATATTTATTTCAATTACATATAAATTTAAAAGTGATTTTTTCAACTCCTTTGTATCCGAATGTGGGGGGGGGAGGGAATTGGCTTAATACTTTTAAGAATATCAAGATCAAGCGTTCAAGATATTTCATGATATTTCACACTGAAGAACCAACATCTATATATATATATTTGCGTTAATATGCAATACGCATATTTTTTATTAGAAACAAAATCCCTGAAGACATTTCAAGCGTTCAAGATTTTTCATGATATTTCACACTGAAGAACCAACATCTATATATGTTTGCGTTAATATGCAATACGCATATTTTTTATTAGAAACAAAATCCCTGAAGACATTTCAAGCGTTCAAGATTTTTTATGATATTTCACACTGAAGAACCAACATCTATATATGTTTGCGTTAATACGCAATACGCATATTTTTTATTTGAAACAAAATCCCTGAAGACATTTCTAATCGAGACTGCAATGATTTATATTTTTTAACAAAATTATTTTTTTCAGAATTCAGTTTGAATCTTGGTTCGAAGCTGTGATATTAGGAGATTGTTTCGGAGCTTAGTCGACAAGTAGTCATACGCCATAAATACTGTTCCGGTTTAAATACCTCTCTTAGGTGTTCTCTTTGCTTGCCAGTTTTTTGAAAATTTTTATTATTATATTGCACAAAATTCACAAAGCCTCATTTAAAGTAACTTGTTTTAGCTTATTTTCATCAGAATATTTTTATACAGTGCATTTTTCTCAAAACGTAATCGTAATCTCAATAGACAGTTTGCATTTTTAGGTTGCCAGCTAACTGCGTTGATTAAATGTTTTTTTTTTGCTGGGCATTACTCAGTAAAATTGGTTGGGAAACGTAAGTAAAAAGACGGCTTGGATTTAATATTTTTGTAAAGGCATAACCAGAATTCTCAATTCAGTTCTCTACAAATATTGTTATGTATTTCTTATCATTATTTGTTAAGTAACATCTTAAAGCAAATTAGCTTACATGCCACTAGGGGCAAAATATGAAACAGTTTTTTATGTATATTATTTAAGCACTGTAACTGTTAAATGGTTCAATAAACTAAAAAGTATCATTAACTTTAGATTTACTTTTCAATACTAGGGTCTCCACTCTCCAGTGGAAGCAAACTTTGTATAAAAAAATTTGCATTTTTCGCAATTTTTTTACGCAGAATTCCGCATGTGTAATTCAACAGATAAAATTCCGCGTGAAACTAGGGCTGCAGCTGCAGCTGCTTCAAAATTTCAGATTTATAATTTCACACCATATATTGATAATTTCTTGTTGAGCCATGCAGAAAGTTAACTTTTTTACTACTACAGGTAGAATTTTGTCGACTTTATATTTCTAGAATTTCCTGTTGGACAACATCTCGACGATAAAACTCGTAAAAAACGCGACTTCTAAATACCAGTTTTGAATTAGTCAAGTACTTGGAACAAAACTTGCAAAAAAAGTCGAGTATTCAATCTAAGTTTGGGCTTTATTGCAAAATTAAGAACTGATATTTAAAATACAGATTGTATGTAAACAAATTTTGCAAGTTTTTTTTTAGTTTTTGTTTGGTGAGAAACTAAACTTTTTGTTCCAAGTTCATGACTAGTTCAGTAATGGTATTTAAAAGTCAAGATATTCTCGACATATACCAGTTTTGTTTAAGTCAAAACTTGGCCAAAACTTTGTTGAAAAAATAAAGTATCTATTTAAGTTTTTGTTCCCAGTTCATGGCCAGTTCTAAAATGGTCATCAAAAGTCGAGATATTCTCGACATGGTATAACAGTTTTATGTAAACTTGGGAACAACTTGGATGAAAAGCACGAGTTCTTTTTACGATTTTTTCATTTCAAGTTCACGACAATAGTATCCAAAAGTCGTCATTGCTGCTTTGATCTGATCCATTTTTGATTATCATCTGAAAAAAAAATTAAGAAAAAGGTATCGCTGAAATTAAAGAATTTTATCTCGAAATGTTTTCCTTTTTGCGTAAAAAATGTTTAGAGTTTTATATACTGGGCATAATAAGTTACTATTTATAATAATTGATCAATATTTTTGATCATTAAAGGCCAGTATTTCGAAAAAAATACAAACAAACTGTTTACTAAATGTACAAAGAATTTAAAGGAAATTATTCTGTAGAACAGTGGCTCGTTTGTATAGCGAAGGCTCGGTCTGCCTAGCAAATCTTTAGGCTCGTGTCTGCAGAGCGTCCGGGGGTTACCTCCCTCAGTGTACACAACATGAGGATAATATTGGTAGAAAACCAGTTCTAATTTCAATTGGAAATAAAGCCAAGGTTAAGGAAAAATTGTTACTCAAAGACTAGACTCATGTTAAAATAAATGAAGATCCCTATACAGCATTTTCTGAATTTTCTAACGCATTAAATAATATATATATGAAGAAAGCTTCCATTTATTAAATACAAGCCAAATACAAATTCTATTAACCCTTGCTAGTTTCTAGAAAACGAAAAGAAATATCATTTCAAGAAAAAAAATCATAAATCCAACTACAAACGATATGGAAGCTTTTAGAAATTATATTTCTGTTTATCGCAGAGCAATAAAAAAGTCCAAGACCAGCTATTTTTATTAATTTACAGAATACTAAAAAGACATCAAAAAGGCTTGGTCGTTATTAAACTATTATTTCTTCCAAGAAAAAAAGTCATTCAGTTCCTGAGTTTTTGCCACAAACTCGAAATATTCTTATCCCTATATCTTGGCAACCCAATGTCGTAGACGCTTAGATATTTTAAACTATTAATTCTGTTGGATCAAATAATCTAAGTTTGAAATTTCAAAGGTTTACACCAACAGGTTGCAGAGATATAGAAATGAGAGGGATGGTGGAGTTGGCACATTTGATGTAGGGGGGGGGGGCCCTGCCTTCATTTTTGGTTCAAATCTTCCAATTTTTTGGGTGCACGCCTAACTAGGGTTCGAAATTCCTTTAATAAAATAAAATTGAACTATAATGACCTCTAATGACCTCTAATGACCTCTAATGACCTCCACAAATAGAAAATATTTCAACTATGGCTTAATGCATATCAAACGAAAGTTCTACAGCATTTTCTGAATTTTCTAACGCATTAAATAATACATATATGAAGAAAGCTTCCATTTATTAAATATAAGCCAAACAAAAATAAAAATTCTATTAACCCTAGCTAGTTTCTAGAAAACGAAAAGAAAAATTATTTCAAGAAAAAAATATATAAATCCAGCTACAAACGATATAGAAGCTTTTAGAAAATAAAATTCTGTTTATCGCAGAGCAATGAAAAAGACCAGCTATTTTTATCAATTTACAGAATACTCAAAAGACATCAAAATGGCTTGGTCAATACTAAACTCTATTATTTCTTCTAAGAAAAAAAGTCATTCAGTTCCTGAGTTTTTGCCACAAACTCGAAATATTCTTATCCCTATATCTTGGCAACCCAGTGTAGTAGACCTTAGATATTTTAAACTATTAATTCTGTTAGATCAAATAATCTAAGTTTGAAATTTCAAAGGTTTACACCAACAGGTTGCAGAGATATAGAAATGAGAACATTTGAGTTTGTGGCAAAAACTCGGTTCCTTTTCAGTGATGTTTAAATAAGTTTTTTGGGATCTGCTGATATAGTTTTAATGATTTTTTGTTGTAAAAGTTGGACTCAGATTGTCTAGTTATGTTCCGGATTCAAATGTCAATTTTGAAACATCTCTAAAAGAGCCAACAGAAAATTCTATGTTTGAAAATACTACACTAGAAATTATTCTTGAAACAGTGAGTAAACCTAAACCTAAAACAAGTTCAGGTAAGAACATATTTTATACCACATTAATAATTGAAATTAATGTTTATCTTGAGGATACATTAAACTAGGTGTTCTTTCTTTTATGCATAAATCTTTTATAAAAACCTTCCGATTTCCTTGCATGACATGTTTAATTTTTAAGCTGAACAAAATTGAATAAACTTGAACAGATTCTCTTTAAAGTGATAAATGCTAGAATGTTTTTTCTCCGCTTTATTTCCCAAACTGGAATTCGATTGAATAAGAGCTTGAAGAAACTAAATCTGCAAAATCGTTTAAAAAAAAGTTGTGTATCATGTGGATAAACTTAGTCTTTCTTATCTTCACCCTCTACTGTAGTTCATAAACATGATTTTATTAAAAATATGTTACCCCCTGTTCCAAACCCTTCTTCTTATTACCCCTCCTTTCCCTTACACTTCCTCACCACCTTCTGATCTTTTTCCTGACTTATCCAGGATATGTTCCAAAAACGCGACATGAGCTGAAATGCGGTAATTGTTTCAAAATAGGGATATGTTCGAAAATTAAAACCAATATCATCAAAAATTTATTAGAAATGGGCCAAGTGTTAGTTTTGGAACTAATTTCCCCTGAAATCACAGAACCTCATGATATTGAAAAATCACAAAACTTCTTGATAGTGATAAATCACAAAACCTCTTGAGTGATGAAACACAAAACTTCTTGATAGTGATAAATCACAAAACCTCTTGATAGTGATAAATCACAAAACCTCTTGAGTGATGAAACACAAAACTTCTTGATAGTGATAAATCACAAAACCTCTTGATAGTGATAAATCACAAAACCTCTTGAGTGATGAAACNATAGACGCAACAGATAGAAGTAAGATTAGTAGCGATCAAAAACGCTTTTTTATCTCATTAAGCCTATACCCCCTTTCATTTTTCGCGAACACTCCCTTTAAGTTTGGTGTTGTATGGGTTGATATTGATATACCAGGGGTTGTAATCTGGCAGCACATTCATCCATCTACGCTTCATTCATACTGAGAAAAGGGTTGACAAGATTCCAGCTGCTTAACTTAGGCCTGAGAATAATAGAGTGCAGGAATTCTTCTGATATACTGGAATGAGGCTCGGGTGCCATACAGATAGGAAACATCACACTCATTGCTCCCAATCATTTGTATGCCCGGATTGGATACCCCCAGGTACCTATAGCTGGCAACCATAGACTCTCCCTGCTTGTCCACTATTCCTCTCTTCATCATCATTCACTTGGATCAATCCACTTAAAGTTTCTTTCTTTTTCAGAAATCCTCTTTTCGGTAGAAGTTTCCTCAGATTTGCAAATTAAAGAGAGAAAATATTATAAAAACATTTGCAAATTTTATTAATTATTTTTTTCTCAAAACGCGCGAAAGGGGGGAGGGAAACTTTTTTGCAGATTTTAATCTTAGAAATTATTTGATTAATTTGTTGAATGGAACTGAGGTGAAACTTAAAATTTCTAATCACTATATCTTTGCAATCTTATCATGTAAACCTTCGATATTTCAAACTTAGATCATTTGTTCTAACAGAATGCATAGTTTGTAATTTAAAATGTCTAAATATTTTATTGCAAAGATATAGGGGTTAGAACTATGGACTTTTTTGTTTTTTTTTCCAAATTAAATTATGACAATTTTTTAAATAATTCTTATTGTTGGTAAACTTTTTTACAAATTGTACATTATTTTATTAACCTGCTCTGAACAGACCTTAACTACAAACCTGTCATGCCAAAATCAATAAAAACATGAAGTGATAATTTATGCATTGGAACAAATGATTTAGAGTCATATGTATTTTTTATTCATGAATGTGGTGTCTAGTGTGTAGTTTTTACTTTATACAATTCTTTATGTATTTTTTATACTTTTTTATACGTTTTCTTCCAATCTTCAAATCAGATTTGATATTTAAAATAAAATCCAGAAAACAACGGGTTATATGCCTGATTCACGGTATATTCTTTAAACTTTTATTGGATTAAAAATCTGGAAGATATTGTCATTTTTATAATAAAAAGTATTTTGTTCTGACCATTAACTCTACAATTTTCTTTAGCAGAGTTGTGCAAGGCACTTTAAGAAAAAAGCCATAGTTTTGAATAATCAATTTGTAAAAAGAAACCCCTGGATATCTCAGTCTTGATCAAACAAAGTAGTTAGGTATGCTGTTATTAATCAAACATACCACTTATACATGGAGAGACAGTTGAAATTATTTATAGAGTTTTATTATTTATAATTA